GTCTCCCTTCTTCTCCTTCCTGTGCCTGCCCCTGTCTCATCCATCCCCTTCCATTCCTCTGTCCTGTCACAACCCATCTTGAATCTATCTATCTTTCCCCTCTTGGCTTAAAAGTACAAGCTCTGCCGTTAAACCTTTTGGTTTCACATCATAGTTCTGCCTCTTGATACTTGGCTTCGTTCACAAGTTACTGAACTTCTCTGAGCCTCGGCAGTCTCTCATAGAAAACAAGGATGGTTTTGTGAGCATCGGATACAGTAACATACACTAAGTATTTAGCATCGTGCCTAGCACAAGCACCGGTGTAGCTTATCCGTTGGCCTTTCTTATACTTCCTTTGCCAGTTCACCTCATCCCCCATCACTTCTGTTCTGTCTCATCCCTCTCCTATTTCCCCTTCTTTACTAGAACTCGTAGAGCCCGAGAGTCTCAGACCACAGAGCCCAGTCCTTTCACACTGTATAAATGAAAAACCTGGTGCCTGAACTGAAAGTAATTTCCCATCATTTACGCACATGGTGGAGATGGTGTCTCATGGAGTTCATCTGTCCTTGAAGTCAGTATATAGTTGAGGCTGACCTGGAACATCTGATCCTTGCTGCTTCTGCCTCCTAAGAGCTTAGATTACAGGCATGAGCTACCATGCCCAGCTTTCTTTTCTTTTTTCAGAGTTGCCTCCATGCTAAAGTTTTCAAATCTTTCCCTGTTTTTTCTTCATCCTAATCCTTTCCTCCTCTCCGACGTCCTCTGCCCTACTTCATTGCTGTTTCCTGGATGTATGTTCTGTGTTCCATCTGTACCCTCTCCTGTAGGGAAGACATGCCAGTGAGGGCAGTTCGCCCTCCGAATCTCTACTTCTTCCTCTCCTTCCCTCTGGCCTGTGAAGCCCCTTCAGGGCTTCAGAATAGCAATGATCATCCACACTGAGGCATTAACTGTCAGTCTCTTGTGAGCTGTCACAAGTAGCCAGTTACTGCTAGCCAGGCACTGGGGTTTAGGAACAGTCACTTATGGAATGAATTTAAGAGTTAGCCTTGTGGCCGGGCGGTGGTGGCGCACGCCTTTAATCCCAGCACTTGGGAGGCAGAGGCAGGTGGATTTCTGAGTTCGAGGCCAGCCTGGTCTACAGAGTGAGTTCCAGGATAGCCAGGGCTATACAGGGAAACCCTGTCTCGAAAAACCAAAAAAAAAAAAAAAGGAGTTAGCCTTGTGCTAGCCTCAGTGAGCGCTTACAGTTAGGCATTTTGTATAATTTCCAACAACCCCAGAGGCGTGCGTGGAGGCATAGGGTATTGTTGGTTTTGGGGGAGAGTGGGAAGCCAGCTCCCACTCTGAGCCAAGCGGAGGCAGTGTCCTTGCGTCCTGAGTGCTGAGGTTACAGGTTGCACCAGTGCCTCTGGCTTGGAGCATTGTCATGCTCGTATTGAGGACACGTGCAGCTTATACGGTGGGGAACTCTAAGAGTTCTTTTAGGGGATCACACTAAAGAATAAATTTTCTCCCTTTACAGGGCGTCCCCTTGGATACCAGTAAACTGCCTACTGACCAGCGATTGCCTCCATACCCATATAGCCCCCCAAGTCTAGTTATACCCACCCATCCACCTACCCCAAAGTCTCTACAGCAGTTGCCCTCTCAGGCCTGCTTAGTGCAGCCCTCAGGTGGACAGCCTCCAGGCAGGCAGCCACATTATGGGGCACTGTACCCACCTGGGTCTAGTGGACATGGGCAACAGCCTTACCACCGCCCAATAAATGACTTCAGCTTGGGGAATGTGAGTATGCAAACTCATAGCTCTGAAATGGGAGGGGCTGAGCGTGGGTCAGGTACCTGAGTGGTCACTGGTACACTGACTTGGGAGATATGGGTGGGACCTCTTTTTCCCCCAGGTAACATAGCACTGCCAGCTTGGGGCTCCTGTCTTCCTGTGTTTGACCCCTACTCCTGCCCCTCTGTTTCTGCTCAGCTTGCTCTCTGATGACTCCTGCCTTGACCCGTTCTCTTCCTGGCATGCACATGCTCTGGCCCAGCAGGTACGGTGCCCACACTTACTTCGGGCCCCGTGCTCGCTTCTGTTGCTCTGCTTGCTATCACCTCCCTTTGTCTTTGCCTCTCTTCCTAGGGTGGACGGGGCTTGCTAGGCAAAGGGGACAGATCAGCAGAGCTAGGCAGGGTACCCTGTTCTGAAGCCCACTTCCTTAAGGTCTGTCTATATGTCCCTAGCTGGAGCAATTCAACATGGAGAACCCATCAACCAGCCTGGTGCTGGATCCCCCTGCCTTTTCTGAAGGTCCTGGATTTTTAGGGAGTGAGGGATCAATGAGTGGCCCCCAGGACCCTCATGTCCTCAACCACCAAAACTTGACCCACTGTTCCCGCCATGGCTCAGGACCTAATATCATACTCACAGGTAAGGGAATGTGGGTGCTGGTGGAGATTGACAGCTTCACTGATGGAACAGGAGACTGAGGAGTTTGAAGGTGTGTGGCCTGGGATCTTTACCCACCTCTTCTGCACACAGGAGACTCTTCCCCAGGTTTCTCTAAGGAGATTGCAGCAGCCCTGGCTGGAGTACCTGGCTTTGAGGTGTCAGCATCTGGGTTGGAGCTGGGACTGGGGCTGGAAGATGATTTGCGCATGGAGCCACTGGGCCTGGAAGGACTAACCATGCTGAGTGACCCCTGTGCCCTGCTGCCTGACCCTGCTGTGGAGGACTCATTCCGTAGTGATCGGCTACAGTGAGGGGACCTTACTGCCATCCTTCTTCATGGCCCTGTCCCATCACTGTCTTTTCATCCCTTCCCCCTGGCCAGTAGAGAGTACTCTCTGCCCCTAGGTCCTTTTCTAACATAAATGAAGGATCCTAAAATGAGGAAAGGGAAGGGGCTGGGCCAGGTGACCCCTGGATGTTGTACATCTGGTGGGCTTGGGGAGTTCAAGGGAGGGTCTAAAAGCACTTGTAACTTTGAAAATCGTCTGTCTGGAGGTCAGAGCCTGTTGGAAAGCAAGGTGTAGAGGGGAATCTTGGAGAGAGGGCTTGTCCAGAAAAAGGGTGGGCATTACCAGCCCCTCCCTAGTTCTCTTCCCCTTGCAATGGAAGAGAGAGCCAGAGTGGATATTATTTTTTATTAAATATATTATATGTTAATAAAAAATCCTATTAAACCTTTTGTGTGCTTGACTGTTTGGTACATGGCTGGGGACCTAAGGAGGTTTGATGCCATAGGTTCTTTTGTGTTGCATGTTTTTTTAAGGCGAGATTTCTCTTACATAGTCCAGGCTACCTAGAAGTCATAGATGACTTCTAGCACCTCGGTTTCCTTAGTGCTATGACTATAGTTGTGTGTTCATCCTTTCAGGACTTTTGTGCTTGTGCAGGAGCTCAGTCCTCAAATTTAGGCCCCAAACTGGACCTATCCTAGAGCCAATATAGACTTCACTGAGGGCAGCAGGAAGTCACCTTATGTGCCTTCGTGTTTGTCTAAGGCTCTGCTGCAGCATCAGGGGATGGGGCACCCTGACTGGCCAGACAAGTTACTGTTCTGAGGCCTGGGGTAAGGAGATGGTTGTTGTCCCAGGTCAGTTGTTTCTGTTAGAGAAACCTCACCTCTTCTGGAGGTAGCTATTCCCAGTGTTGGTGCTTCTGAAGAGAAGTAAGCAGCTCTAGCTGGCTTACTTGGTCATTTATGTTTGGAATGTTTATGCAATTTCATCGTCCGAGGATTGTATGTCGATTTACCCATTTCACTGCTCCATTTGGGTTTAACTTCAATAGCTCCTTAGGAGACAACCACGTTCCACGAAGGTTTGTTAGACTTCACCCAGTATGGTCAAAGGAGTGCTGCTGCTCCACTCTTCGGCTTCATGCCTTTCTTCCTCTTTTTCAATGTTCTTGTCATTTCTCGAAAGAAGAACTGAGAATTTCTGGCTCTGGCCAGTGGGTTCTAAACGTGGAAGTGGGGAGTCACCTGGGTTTCCCAGGTCTAGATCTTCAGGGCCTTCGCCTTGGCACAGTGGCCACATCTGACGGTAGGGCAGGACAGAAGCACCGGCTCTGACTTCGGGGCCATCTGGGGTCAGTGTCTTGCTTTTTCCGCCGGGAGGTGGGAATCCGCTCGGTTGCAGGGGGCCCTCCCAGCCACCAGGGGTCGCGCTGCAGGCGGCAGGGTGTTGGGCCGGCGCTAGCCAGGGTCACGGCCGCAGGCCCGGGTGTGTGTGTGGGGGGGCGGAATAGCGGAGGCGCCCGCGGCTCCTGGGTGTGTGGGGGGGGTATGAGTAGAGAAAGCAGGGCGCGCTGAAGAGCTTGGGGTCCCCAGCACCGCAGGAGCCGGGAGGACCGCGCGGCTGGAACTAGCGGTGTGGTAGCAGTCCCCGCGTGGCGCAGCGCGCGGGGACGCTGGGACCGCCCAGATCTTCTTCCACTGTGCCCGGCGCCCTCGGCTGCTGCTTCTTCCTTCAGCCCGGGCGCGAGCGGCTCCTAAGTCGAGTGCGCCATGTCCGGGGCTGGATAGCAGCCCGGCCGCCCGCCGGCCCGCCAGCCCGCCCTCAGAGCCACCCGCCAGCGGGCCGGCTGGGGAGTCCCAGGGCAGGCAGGTAGGGGCCGGACCGGGCGGGGCGGCGGGCGGGTTAGGGCGGACGGAGGGCGGACGGCTCCAGGGACTGTCCCCAGCTGTTCTGCGCTGCGCATCTGGTTCCGCTTCCTCCCTCCCAGGGAAGTGAAAGTGGAGGGGAGGGCGCAACCCGGCGCTAGCTAGCTATGCTCGACATCCTACAACCTGGAGCTCCCGCGGGCGCTCAAGCCAGAGCTCCCCTCCTCGCTAGGGTCACGCGGCTGCTGGCGCTGCTGCCGTCACGTCCTCGGCAGTCCCTGCGCGCGCTTCTCTCGGCCCTCCGGCCTCTTGCTCAGTCACCTCCCCCGCGGCGCGCCCTCTGCCCTAGCCCCGACTTCCCGTCATTCGGCATGTGGGCGTTGGGACCCAAAGTGGCTCCAGTGCCACCCCAAGGGAGAAGGGGCTGCATTCTATAGGACTCTTCCCTGGTTGGATAAGGGAAGGCCTGGATACACAAGTCCTGTTGATCCGGGCCCACCCACTTGCCTATAGAGGGTCTCATCTAACGGCTTTTGCCTACTGTCTTGGAGCACAGAACTACTATTGGCCTGCAGTGGACGAAAGAGTGAGCTGTGTCCTGGAGTTAAATCAGGAGGCTGACGCTGACTCCTGGCTTCACCTCTCAGATGTGAAGAAGCTCAAGCTAAATTTAGCTTGAGTTGGGGCATGTGTGTCCAGAGGCCAGGTTAAGAAGACAGCCGGCTTGGCTCTAGTTCTCTGAGGAAGAGTAGGAGGTTAAATAGATTGTGCATCCTGGAGACATTGGAAGCTTCTCTGCCTTGCGCAGGAAAGGCAGGATCCTTAGTGCTGGCACCTTCAACAGTAGTATCCCCCCAACCCCCAAAACGATACCACACACCCATAGGCCAACTTATGCTGAGCTAGCTACAGCTTCCCCTTCGCAGCAGCCGTTTCAGGAAGTAACCTCCCTTCCCCTCTGAAGCACTCTATCAGCCTCTAGCCCCTTGCAAGCCACCGGCCAGGCTTCTTCCCACCTTCAACACCCTGGGGCACCTCAGGACTCTTGGGGCTTCCACTCCCCAGGGTCAGGCCATGGAGGCAGGTGAGATAAGTTACCAACAGACTGTTGTGACCCCGATTCTGTCTGGGGCTGGGTGGCACGGGCATGGCATGGCTGAAGCTATCTCCTACAGTCCCTTTGTGCCTAAATACAGATACCTAAGGGTCCTAGAGATGGGAAAGCCCCGGTTACTTGGCCAATTTAGTAAAGTTAAGCTAGAAAAAAAGGATATTTGAAGTCTGATGAGCAGAACCTAACTCTTGGGTTTTTCAAGCCTTCCCAGAAATCTGTGGAGTCTTCTAAAAATAAAAGGATGGGTGCTTTAAGAGCACTAGCTGCATCAGAAGGTTCTTGTGGTGTTGCTACCAGAGCAAGAAGAAGCAAAAGTTGGTGTGATGTAGCCAGAGTGAATAATGTCATTGCAGGCCATTACAGAAAATACTGTGTTCTCTGAGATGTAATTGTAGTGGGGCAAAGAGGGGCAGGCTTTTAAAGGAATAGGTGACCAATATGTCAGATGTGTGTTGTAGAGCAGAGTTTGGGTTCTTTGGGGGAAAAGGGCTGATGTCGCTAAGAAGGAAGGACCTAGTGGTCTCTAAGGAGCTGTGGTGGGATATGAGAGTCTGGTGATGTCACAGGTGGAAGAGTTCAGGATTGGCTGATTATTTATCCTTTCCTTAGAAGAACTAGGAAGAGGAAAGAAGGTGGGGGGGTCCACTATGGTTGCCATGGGAACATTAGCCTCTCTTGCTCCATCTCTTCCTCGATTGACCATTCCAGATGCAGTGAGTGAAGGGGGGGCCATGGCGGAGGAGCGGCCTCCCCGGTTGGTGGATTACTTCGTGGTGGCTGGGCTTGCAGGAAATGGAGCACCTATACCTGAGGAGACATGGGTTCCCGAACCTACTGGGCCCCTGCGCCCTCCCCGGCCAGCTGAACCTATTACAGATGTGGCAGTCATCGCTAGGGCACTGGGAGAGGAGGTGCCCCAGGGCTATACATGCATTCAGACTTCTGCTGGTGGCCACCCCTTGGAGCTCAGTGCTGGGCTCCTGGGTGGAACTCAACCAGTCATCTGCTACCGCAGGGGGCGTGACAAGCCCCCCCTCGTTGAGCTGGGGTATGTACCCCTATCCATGCTGCCACTAGAGGAAGCTGGGAGGGATCTTTGAATGAACTAAGAAGAGGTAGGGATATGGGTCAAGAGGAAGAGTATGGGAACAGCAGCAGCATGGGGTAGAGGTCAAGAGGAAGGGCTCCCTGCCTTTGCTGCTGCTTGCTAGCCAGCAAACGTTTCTTCATCTGCAAATTGAGGATAGTGACTCCTCTCTGGCTAGTTCAGAATATTAAATGAAACAACCCATGTAAGGAATTTAGCAGAGTTGGTAGTTCTTAGTGCTTATTCTTGAGAGCTATGGAAGGCATGGGTTAAAGGGACGGTTACTGACTGAAAGGATCCTAAAGGATAGACCTAAGCAGGGAGTGGTGGGCTATACTGCCAGGGTATGACAAGGCTAAGAGAGCATGGCAGATTTAGGAGATCCAGGTAGGCAGATCTGGCAGGATCCAGGTCTTTTTCTATCCTGACCTCTTGTTGTCTCTACCCTCTGTGCCAGGGTGTTATATGAAGGGAAGGAACGACCCAAGCCTGGGTTCCAAGTGCTTGACACGACACCATATAGCCACTCAGCTAACCTTGCCCCTCCAGGCCCTGGGCACCCCCGAACCTACCTCATGTACCGGCGGGCAGCAGAAGGGGCAGGGCTGCATGCCCTGGGCATCACTGACCTCTGCCTGGTTCTGCCCAGCAAGGGTGAGGGCACTCCTCATACTTACTGCCGGTTATCCCGCAATCTCAACCCTGGCATGGTGAGTGGTACTGAGGTATTGAGAGCTGAAACCCAAACCACTAGTGTAAGGGTATGGACATATTTGGGGGTCGAGGCCATTGACACCAGGCCAGATCAGAAGTAGCTTGGCTGGGAAGACTGGAATTAGGAGCATCTCTGAAGACAAAAAATAACCGAAGGGTGGTAGAGAGAAGATGAATCCAGAAGCCATTGTTGGTGATGTGTCTGCTTGTCTCTTGTCATTTCTGGGACAGTGGGGCCCAGCAGTGTACCTGTGCTACAAGGTGGGCCTGGCCAAGGCCAACACACTGGTGTATGAGGCAGGTGAGTGGCTTGTTTTTCCTTCCTACCCTTTGATCCTCCATTCTTCTGCTTGGTGCCCCTTGACTGGTAACTTCAGTGACCCCAGAATTTACTTCTCTTTGCCACTTAGCCCTTCTTTGGGATACTCTAGTTTCTTTATCTGGAATCAAATAAACCTTTCACTCTAATATGTACTCTTAATTCTGCTGGGGTATAGAGCTGCTGGGCCGCTACCCAGAGGAAGACAATGAGGCATTTCCACTGCCTGAGTCAGTACCAGTCTTCTGCCTGCCCATGGGGGCCACTATCGAGTGCTGGCCTGCCCAGACCAAGTACCCAGTACCTGTCTTCTCCACCTTTGTGCTCACGGGTGCTGCTGGTGATAAGGTGGGTTTGCAGGGTGTGGTTAGGATTCACATAATGTAGAACCCATCTGATTATCCCTATACCCCTGCCAGGTGTATGGTGCCGCTTTGCAGTTCTATGAAGCATTCCCCAGGGCCAGGCTGTCAGAGAGGCAGGCACGGGCACTGGGCCTGCTGAGTGCTGTGGAACGGGGCCGGGCACTGGGAGGCCGAGCAGTGCGGAGCCGGCGTGCCATTGCTGTGCTGTCCCGCTGGCCTGCCTTCCCAGCCTTCCGAGCCTTCCTCACCTTCCTTTACCGCTACTCTGTCTCAGGCCCCCATCGTCTGCCCTTGGAAGCGTGAGTACAGCTCTCCCAACTCTGGGGAGTTATGAGGCATTGGAGAGGATAAATGGGAGACATTAGAATGGAATTGGGGGAGGCACACTGAGTACCTAGGGGACAGGGATGCAGTACGTGGTTATATAGTTTGTAAATTTAAACTTCTGGCTAAAGGTAAGTAGAGCCTGGAATCTAGCCTGCATTTGTTAGTTGGGTCTTGGCTAGGCCTATGTATGCCCAACAGATATATATTTCATTTACATTTATTTATTTATTTACTTACGTTTGAGGGAGAGCTCACTATCTAGCCCTAGCTGGCTTGGAATTCACTGTGTTGTGGATATGTGCCTCCTTTCAGGCAAAGGGATCTCTTTTCTTTTTTTTTTTTTCTTTTTTTTTTTGTTTTTTGTTTTTTTTTTGGTTTTTTTCGAGACAGGGTTTCTCTGTATGTAGCCCTGGCTGTCCTGAAACTCACTCTGTAGACCAGGCTAGCCTCGAACTCTCAAACTCAGAGATCCTCCTGCCTCTGCCTCCCAAGTGCTGGGATTAAAGGCGTGCACCACCACCGCCCGGCCAGGGATCTCTTTTCTTTTTTTTTTTTTTTTTGGTTTGGTTTTTCGAGACAGGGTTTCTCTGTGTAGCCCTGGCTGTCCTGGAACTCACTCCGTAGACCAGGCTAGCCTCGAACTCTCGAACTCAGAAATCCGCCTGCCTCTGCCTCCCAAGTGCTGGGATTAAAGGCGTGCGCCACCACCGCCCGGCCCAGGGATCTCTTTTCTAATGCACATAATACCTATGTGTAAAGCTGAGCCAGTCAAGAGGGGGGCTTCAGGGAGGAGTGAGGCTCTTGAGGCTAGAAGAGATGAGGCTATGTGGAGTGATGAGACAGGGGACAGATTGGAGAGTCGGCCTCACCCTTCTCCTCTCTCCCTAGGCACATCTCCCACTTCATTCACAACGTCCCGTTCCCTTCCCCACAGAGACCACGCATCCTAGTGCAGGTGAGAGGTGAGCCTAGGGCTGGGCTGGCTGAAAGGAGAGGAGTTGGCAGGGACTAGCTATGAACATCCTGACCTGTGGCACCTCTTTCAGATGTCTCCCTATGACAACCTGCTCCTCTGTCAACCTGTCTCCTCACCCCTGCCCCTCAGGTATGTGCCTAAATGGCAGGGTGTTGGGGAGGCTTTGATAACATGGGGGATAAAAGGAGGTATGGCTCAGATGAATCTAGCTGTCAAGATCTTTGCAGACTAGCCCTGGTGATCTGTGTCTAGTGTCTTGGAAAGAGTCTCTTGTGACCCTTTATCCTTCTACTTCCTGCAGTGGTGCTAGCTTTTTGCAGCTGCTGCAGAACCTGGGCCCAGAACTGGCTATTACATTGCTGCTGGCTGTGCTCACGGAGCACAAACTACTGGTCCATTCTCTGCGGCCAGATCTGCTCACCAGCGTTTGCGAGGCCCTTGTTTCAGTGAGTGCCATGTTATCTAGTCTGCTTCTCCAGAACTGCTGTCTTTTCTGGTACCCTTCACCCAGATCTGGACTCTCCTTCTTTTCTTTCCATAGGGAAAGGGTCTTCAGTCTTTCCACCTGGGTACAGTTGTCAGACATACAGGGTCTTTCTTCAAGATTAACTCAAAGGCTTCTTTCAGTAGGTTCTCCCCTCCCCTAAGGCTAGTGTCCTGTGCTCACTGGTTCTCACTCCTTTATGTTTCAGATGATTTTTCCTCTGCACTGGCAGTGCCCCTACATTCCGCTGTGCCCGCTAGTGCTGGCGGATGTGCTGAGTGCCCCTGTGCCCTTCATTGTGGGTATCCACTCCAGCTATTTCGATCTGCATGACCCGCCTGCTGACGTCATCTGTGTTGATCTTGATACCAACACGCTCTTCCAGTAAGAGGCTAAGAACCATCTGAGGGCTAGAGGGGAATGGACATCTAAGGGCTGATGTGTGGGGTGTGGGGTTTTATTGGTTCTAAGAGGATTAGGTTTTTTTTGGTTTTTTGAGGCAGGGTTTCTCTGTGTAGTCCTGGCTGTCCTGGAACTCACTCTGTAGACTAGGCTGGCCTCGAACTCAGAAATCTGCCTGCCTCTGCCTCCCAAGTGCTGGGATTAAAGGCGTGCACCACCACCGCCCGGTGAGGATTAGTTTTTTTGGTAGAAGCCCCAACATCCTTTCTCTTTATGCTATCTCTCAGAACAGAGGAAAAGAAGCCCCTTTCTGCTAGGACCCTGCCCCGAAGACCATACAAGCTTTTGCTGGCCACACTGACAAATCTGTACCAGCAGCTGGACCAGAGTGAGAAGCTGGTGGGCTTGGGAGGCTAGAAGCTGTTGTTGGCCTTAAATCTCCAGTTTGAGGGGAGGGTCGAGGGGGGTCAATAGACCTTCTCTGAAGTGAGTTTGGATTTGGTGGGAATAAAATGAAGCTAGGGGCAGGAGTGGGGGAGCAGCATTTCTAAGCTTATCAAAGAGGTTGAGCATATCACTGGAGAGCCTTGAAACTGGTACCCAAAGGTAAATTTTTGCCCACTCCTGGTGCAAGATCTGTCAGAAGCTGGTGGGGAAGATGAGTCATTTATGTGAAAAACAGGATGAGACAAGCCCAAAGGTGCCAATCTTGACTCTCAGACATATTGTTTCCCAGCTTACACTGGACCAGAGGAAGAGGCCTCCCTGGAATTCCTGCTGACAGACTATGAGGCAGTGTGCGGCCGCAGGACTCGCCTGGAACGGGAAGTCCAGGGAGCCTTTCTGCGCTTCATGGCATGTCTGCTCAAAGGCTACCGGAACTTCCTTCGCCCTCTCACCCAGGCCCCCTCTGAGGGATCTCGAGATGTTGACAACCTTTTCTACCTTCAGGGTAAATAAAGAGAGTCTGTTTTGGTTTGCAAAAGGAGGGCGGGCATGGTTGGGGGCAGGGCTCCATGGGGAAAGTGAAGGGGGCCACCGACTGGGAGGAGTAGATTGCTTGTTCCTCCTCCACAGTTCTGGTTTTGGAGGAAATAAAGGTATGTGGGTGAATATGTCCTACTGTCTGGGATCCCTTAGCATAATATGAACATAGTCATCCTGGTGGTGAGCAGCAACTGTTAAGTATAGCTCTGATGAGAGACGTGCCCCTTGGACAATTCCCAGTCTGCAGCAGTAGATATAAACAGACACGTGCAAGAGACTCCACAGAGCTGTGGTGTTGGAAAGCTGAATTGCTCTCCAGGAGCTCTGTGAGAGCCATTGATCCTGAATGGCAAGAGCTAAGAGCAGGGTGCAGGAAGGAGGTGGCTGTGATCAGAGAGCTGCAATAACCATGGTAACCCCGTCCCTGGCCCATCCTTACCCCTCAGGTTTCCTCAAGTCCCGGGAACGCTCAAGCCACAAGCTGTACTCTCAGCTGCTGCACACACAGATGTTCTCCCAGTTCATTGAGGAGTGCTCTTTTGGCTCTGCCCGGCATGCAGCCCTGGAGTTCTTTGACTCTTGTGTTGATAAGGTATTGGGCATTGTCCCCTTTTCGTGTACCAACTGATTACTGAGTTCCTCCTGCTTGTCTCTGTCACCCTCAGGCCACTATTAACTGTGTATGTGAGCGGTGACAGTGTTGGCTGGAATCAGACAGAGGACAGCCTGTGCAGCCATCCATGGCTGGCTTACTTCGCTTACTTTCATTTCTGACTCTGCTCCTCCAGATGGATCTCTAGGGTTCCCTCCCTATGACTGTGTGTTTCGGGAAGAGGCCATCTTCTGGGCACCCTGGGTCTGTTCCTTGCTTCTTGTCTTAACTCTTAATTCTTACTGTCCTGGTCCAGGTCCACCCAGAGCAGGAGAAGCCTGAGCCAACACCCTTAGTGGAGCTGGAGGAACTATCAGGAAGTGAGCTCACTGTCTTTATCACACCCCCAGAGGAACCACCAGTACTGGAAGGCAGTGAATCTACTCCTCAGTACTGGTAAGAGGGTCTTCTCCTGTCACCTTGCCCCATGGCCCATGCTCAGCCCTATGCTAACTACCCTCATGGTCTCTGTCCCTTCAGCTATGATGGGTTTCCGGAACTAAAGGCTGAGCTATTTGAGTCTCCTCAGGAAGAACAGGGGGCCCTCCCTGTGCCAGGCCCATCCCGTAGTGCCCCCAGCAGTCCTGCACCTCGCCGTACCAAACAGGTAACCAGCAGTGGGCCTTGTATAGGAACCTGGAACAAGGTCTATTGCTTCATGGTTAAACGAGTATATTCATGGTGCTTATCCCATAAAGCTGCTGAGAGCTTGGTACATTAAAAAAAAAAAAAAAAAAAAAGTAAAATACTGAATAGCCAGGTGTTGGCACACGCCTTTAATCCCAGCACTCAGGAGGCAGAGGCATGAGGATCTCTGTGAAGCCAGCCTGATCTACAAGTGAGTTCCAAGACTGTCAAAGCTATACAGTGGGATCCTGTCTCAAAACAAACAAACAAACAAACAACAACAAAATGCTGTACAAACATTAGCCTCTGTTACTACCGTCATTTGCCATCCTTCTCCTCATCTTCATCCCTGAGCATTTTGGGAACATATAAGCTGGCTACATCTTGCAAGGTGTTCACACATGCTCCAAGGCCAGGCTACTTGCCTTACTGACGTTCCGGGGAGGTTTGTAGCTTAGGCAGTGCCTCGGTCCTCTTGCCTCCTGAGACCACAGACCCTATCTCAGAAAAAGTGTTGCTTCGCTGGGCAGTGGTGGCATACGCCTTTAATCCCAGCACTTGGGAGGCAGAGGCAGGCAGATTTCTGAGTTCGAGGCCAGCCTGGACTACAGAGTGAGTTCCAGGACAGCCAGGGCTACACAGAGAAACCTTGTCTTGAAAAACCAAACAACAACAACAACAACAAAAGTGTTGCTTCTCACACTGACCTGTAATCAGGAGGCTGAGGCAAGATCTAGTGTTTGAGTTCAGGCTATATGACAAGACTGTATCTCAGAAAAATATCAAAATAAGAAAAGACCTGCTGTGGCATTATATTTATCTTGGTGTGTTTCTTATCCCACCTAGGAGATGAAGGTTGCACAGCGAATGGCACAGAAGTCAGCCACTGTGCCTGAGCTGTGGGCCCGGTGCCTACTAGGTCACTGCTATGGACTGTGGTTCTTATGCCTGCCTGCCTATGTGCGTTCCAAACCCTCCCGGGTGCGAGCGTTACATACAGCCTACCATGTGTTACGTGAAATGGAAAGCCGCAAGGTGGTGCTCCCTGATGAGGTAGACACCTGCATGTTCATACCTATCTATCTCTAATCCCAGCGAGGATGTGCAACTATGGGGACTGTGAGAAGGGACAGGTGAAGACTAGGTGAAGTAGGTGGACAGCCCAGAGTTGAGTAGCTTCTCCATCAACAATCGCTAAGTACATGAGCGTGTGTAGGAGAGAACAGTGGAGACTGTCAGGAGCCAGTGAGTCCTGTGATAATTGGAAGGCTGGAAGAGGATGCTTGCTGAGACTTGGGAATCCGTGTTGGAGTACGTCTCCTACATCCCACGCCTCTCTTGGCCTAGGTATGTTACCGGGTACTGCTGCAGCTCTGCTCACACTATGGGCAGCCCGTGCTGTCTGTACGAGTCATGCTAGAGATGCGACGGGCAGGCATTGTGCCCAACACCATCACCTACGGTTACTACAACAAGGTACTTAATTAGGGGCAAGAGGTGGGATGGCAGTGTGTGCTCGGGCCTGTGTGCAGAGGGTACTCTGACAGCTGCTATTGTCCCCATCCCTTGGAGATTAGGCTTGCAATTCTACCTGGTCCTGTAGCTGTTGTCATCCTTGGTGCTACTTTGTTGCCTTTACACGGACAGAGGGTTTTTGTTTGTTTGTTTTGGTTTTTTCAGACTTAGCTACTTTGATTCTTATTTACAACAGCCTTAACTCCATGCCAGACTGTTCCAGATTCATTACATATGCTCCAGGGCATAGAATGGCCATTTCCTGTATTATAGGAATTGAGGTTGTAGAGAATTCATAACTTTCCCCAGGTCCCACAGTAAGAATGTTAGGGAGTGGAAATAAAAGAAAAATTTCATCCAGAATTCAGCCTCTCAACCATGGCGCTAAACTGTCTCCTGTTTTTCAGATAAGAAAACTAAATAGTCAGTTAGTTGAGATAATTTCTTCAAAGCTATTCAGTTTATAAATAGAGTCTAACTAGGCATGATGATGCACAATTTTAATCCCAGCACTCAGGAGGCAGAAGCAGGAGGCTATCTTGGGTTCAAGTCCAGCCTGATCTACATAGTGAGTTCCAGGCCAGCCAGGGCTACTTAGTGATACCCTGCCTAAATAAGTACATAAATACTTAAACAAACAAATAGAATAGTCTAGAGATACTTTTCTCCATTACTACTGATGATGTCTCTTAAGGGCTTTTGTTTCTGGGTGAGCCATTGGTTAGACAGTCCTAGACAGCAAGTCTGGAGAAAAAAGTGGTCAGGCAATAAAGGCATCACTAGGCCATCCTGGCCGACACTGTGATTGGCAGGCTGTGCTGGAAAGCAAATGGCCATCTGGTACTCCGGGTGGACGCCTACGCTGGGCCAAGCTCCGGAATGTTGTCTTGGGGGCTGCTCAGTTCCGCCAGCCCTTAAAGGACCGAAGGCAGCAACAGCAACAACAGCAGCAACAGCAGCAGCAGCAGCAGCGACAGGTGGCCGAGCAGCAAATGTCTGGCAGCTCTCAGACAGGTGGGTAGGGACTGGCAAGGTAGCCTTGGTTCCAGACATGATGGTTCACACCTGCATTCCTAGCACTTGGGGAGTTAAGACAGGAGGATTGATTGTTGCATGCCTTGTACTACATAGTGTACTACAGGCCAGATTGGAATACCTTGTGAGTCTTTGTATCAAAAAAAAAGAAAAGAAAAGAAAAAAGACTGAGCTAGATGAGGTAGTTAGATTCCAATAGGAAGAGACCAGGAAAACTGTAATTGTCCACACACAGGGCCTTTCTGTGTGTGGATAAACCACATGTATTTAGTAGCAGAGATGTAGAGTTGTACTTGGGAGAAACCTTCCAAAACCCAGTCCACCCAAGGGACTGTTTCAGCCTAGGGCTAAATTCCTCTGCTTTCTACAGAGCCCTATCTGGATCGTCCCTCCCCTCCCCGTCCTCTTCAGCGCCAGACTACTTGGGCTGGGCAAAGTCTACGGGGATCATCTTCACCCACAGGGCGCCTGGTCAAGAGCGGCAGCCTAGGCAGTGCCCGCGGGGCACAGCCCACTGTGGAGGCTGGTGTGGCTCACAGTGAGTACCCTTCTCTGACCTCCCTCTTCTTCTCATTGAGCTTTCCTAACAGCTTTTCAGTGAGAGAGGGGAGGACTAGAGCCATGGTTAGGGCAGCACCATGTCAGTGGTCCTGTAGGCTCCGAGGCAAACTTGCCCAAATGCCATGGTGAGTTGTGATTCTAAAGTTTGTGTCTTTATATAGTTTGCATTTTGAATCTTTTTACTAATTTTTAATGCATATGGCTGTTTTGCCTGCATGTATGTCTGTGCACCATTTGTATACCCGGTGTCCATGGAAACCAGAAGGGAGCATCAGATCCCTTCAAAACTGGAGTTACAGTTGGTTTGTGAGTTGCCATGTGGGGGCTGGGAGTTAAATGCAGGTCTTCAGAAAGACAGTGCTCTTAACTGCTGAGCCATCTTTCCAGTCACCGATGCTAGAATTTTTGCTGCAAGAATTGTGTTTACTCAGGAATGGAGCAGCTGGAAGAGTGCCAGGCTCCATCTTTCAAATCTCTTTTGATCTACAGTGATAGAGGCCTTGGGGGTCCTCGAACCCCGCGGATCACCTGTGCCTTGGCAGGATGGAAGTCTCTCAGACCTAAGTCTGACAGGCGAAGAACTGGCACCTGGAGGCAGCCCGGGGGGCTCAGGCTCAGCCCTGAGTGCCCAGTCCACTGAGACCCTAGAAGGGATAAGTGGGCGGGGTTCCAAAACTAGTGGATGTCAGGAGGAGGTGGGCACCCCCCGAAAAGGGCTGGGTGCCCGCCTCCAACAACTGCTCACCCCTTCCCGCCGCTCCTCTGCTTCCCGCATCCCCCCACCTGAGTTGCCCCCTGACCTGCCTCCTGCAGCCCGCAGAAGTCCCATGGATAGTCTTCTGTGGCCCCGAGAACGCCCTGGATCCACTGCTTCTGAGGTAGCCAGTGAGAGAGGACATACCTTACTATCAGGAGGGGGTGGGGCTGCTGACTGGGAGAATGCCCCACAGGTGACTCTGAGAGTGACTGAAACCAGCGTTTATATTGAGAGGAACTAGCTGACTGTGGTTTCTTTTATAATGACAGAGTTCTGCTTCTCTGGGCAGTGAGTGGGATGTCTCAGAGTCTTCTCTCAGCAGCCTGAGTCTTCGCCGTTCCTCAGAGCGTCTTAGTGACACCCCTGGAGCTTTCCAACCACCCTCCCTGGAAGTGAGCATACCCCTGTCTACACAATTGTGCTGGAACACACACACTTCCTATCTTCCTGGAAAAGCAGGAGAAATGGGGGAGGTGGGAGGAGGCCTGGCTGGAGTTTTGAAATGGAAGAGGTAGGGAAGGGCATGGGCTTTGGGGCATTGGAACCAAATGAGGCTCATCTCCTGGGGTCTCCGTGCCTACAGATTCTGATGTCTAGCTGTTCCTTGTGCCATGCCTGTGATTCCCTGGTGTACGATGAGGAAATCATGGCTGGCTGGGCACCTGATGACTCTAACCTCAATACAACTTGTCCGTTCTGCGCCTGTCCCTTTGTGCCCCTGCTCAGTGTCCAGACTCTTGATTCTCGACCCAGGTGCCTGAAGCAGGGCAAGTGATGTGGGAGGGATAGGCAGATGGCACTCCAGGAGCTGACACTCCCTGCTGTTTCCTGCAGTGCGCCTAGTCCAAAGTCTGCCCTTGCTGGTGCCAGTGGCTGCAAAGATGCTCCTGTCCCTGGGGGTCCTGGCCCTGTGCTCAGTGACCGGAGGCTGTGCCTTGCCCTGGATGAACCCCAGCTCTGCAATGGGCATATGGGGGTAAGACTGGGCAAGAGAAACATGATGAAGTGGGGAGTGTGTTATCTGTTGAAGGGAGATGAAGGGCTGCCAGGTGGATGGGCATGGAGGACAAGGGGCATCACTGATGTGTTGAGAGGCAAGCTCCTAGTTGTGGGCCTTTAGTATGTATTCTGTCTGCTCTCCTACTGTGTCTGCAGAGTGCTTCCCGGCGAGTTGAGAATGGGGCATGGGCATACCTGAGCCCTCTGGTGCTGCGTAAGGAACTAGAATCCCTGGTAGAGAATGAGGGTAGTGAGGTGTTGGCATTGCCTGAACTGCCTGCTGCCCACCCTATCATCTTCTGGAACCTCCTGTGGTATTTCCAACGGCTACGCCTGCCTAGTATTCTACCAGGCCTGGTGTTGGCCTCCTGTAATGGGCCTCCACCCAGCCAGGTCAGTACCCTCATGTAGTCCTTGCCTCCCGACCACTTCTCTCCTCACCTCTCAGCCGTTTGTCTCCTAGTCCTCTCTGTCCTTGCAGTGTAGAAAAGCACAAGCTGTGGTGTCCCTTGTGCCTAGCCATTTTGTCAGCACACTTACAACTCTGACCCTCTCTTTCATCATCTGTCAAATGGCACAAGCAGTGACCTAACAGGACAGGCACTTGATGTAGTGACTAGTACCTAAGAAATGGTTAATGTTTTTCTGTTTATTTCACCAATATCTATTTCATACATATTAGGTGTCAGGTGCTAGGTATGTAACAAGTGAAACAAAGTCCTGATTCATAAGACCTGGGAGATGAGAATTTCTTCTCTTTGGGGCATGGCAGCTCCAGTCTTTAATCCCAGCACTCAAGAGGAGACATGCAGGTAGATCTCTATGAGTTCAAGGCCTGCCTAGTCTATATAGTGAGTTCCAAGCCTGTCAAAGCTACATAGTGAGACCCTGTCTCAAAGAACAGTAATGACAAAAGTAAGTTCTTTCCTTTTTCTCCTTTATTATCTCCAGTAATGTCTGTCTGTTTCTTGTTCTCTGCCTCTCATCCTGAACTTGCTTCCTATCTCAGCTCTCCCAGGGACCATCTCCATGGCTAACTCCTGACCCAGCCTCTGTGCATGTGCGTCTGCTGTGGGATGTCCTGACCCCTGATCCCAACAGCTGCCCACCTCTCTACGTGCTCTGGAGGGTCCACAGTGAGTTGGTACTTGATGTAGGAGCTAAAGGGATGGGCTCCTCTCCTGGTTTGGTGATCCTGGCGACCCTTCTTTCCTTCCATCCAGGCCAGATCCCACAGCGGGTGGTGTGGCCAGGCCCAGTACCCTCATGTCTTAGCTTGGCACTACTGGAGTCAGTGCTGCGCCATGTTGGACTCAATGAGGTTCATAAAGCTGTTGGGCTTCTGCTGGAGACTCTAGGGCCCCCTCCCACTGGCCTGCACCTGCAGAGGTATGATGCTGTCCTCTAAGTGGCCCTTGACATATCCTTTGCACCTCTTTTCTTTGACACCTTTCTATGTCTATCACAGGGGAATCTACCGTGAGATCCTATTTCTGACCATGGCTGCTCTGGGCAAGGACCACGTAGATATAGGTAAGGGTACAGTCAGGTACTGAGGAGATAAGGAATTTGGGACCAGGTATGAAAGGAGGTCTGAATGCATCAGTTTCCATCTTCTATCCTAGTGGCCTTCGACAAGAAGTACAAGTCTGCCTTTAACAAGCTGGCTGGCAGCATCGGCAAGGAGGAGCTGAGGCAGCGGCGGGCACAGATGCCTACTCCCAAGGCCATCGACTGCCGAAAGTGTTTTGGAGCACCTCTGGAATGTTAGGGACACCTAAGCTCCCCTCTCCAGCCTTGGGTGGAGAGGTGAGGAAAAGTGGAGTCTAGACATAGCTTGACTCCCTGTTCCCTTCAAAAAGGAATCGAGAACAGGATGTTCAGCCATAGGTTCCAAGTGGGAAGAGCAGAAAGAGGGACTCACTGTTACCCAAAGTCACAATTCCCCTATCTCCAACCTGCCCTGTCTGTCCATGCTGATGTGGGGGAGAGCTAGGGAAGTTGGCACAACTCTTTCTCCATCCCATTCCAGGGGCTCCTTTCCAGGGTATCCTCAGATCTGCAGTGCCCTGGTAGACTTAGAAGTTTTTGTTTTAAAAAACAACTGGAAAGATTCAGAGCTCCTGAGCCTTTGCCCTGAATGGAAGGGAGGAATTTCATTCCCTGCATCTCTTCCCTGACATTGCTAAAGGAGCCCGAGGCAATCTTATTGTTGTATTCTATTTAGTTATTTATTCTGAGGCCACAGCTCCTATACTTATGAGAGTCTCAAGGAGCATGAGAAAGAAGGGAATTAGATTTGTAGCACCTTGAGAGCCGTGCACTGGGACCCAGAGGAGTTCCAGGCTTCCCTTAGGAAGAACTGGTGCCTCTTCTAGTCCGGATCCTTCTTGTCCACTCCACCTTGGGGAATGCCTCTCCCGCCCATGGCCTTGACCTGTGCAATAAGGGTTGTTCTCTGCAAAGTTTTGTTGGATGTAAATATAGTAAAAGCTGCTTCTGTCTTTTTTTCCTTCTGCCTCCTGTCCTCTGGATTTGGGGTGATATCTTACTTTTCCTGGCTGTACATTCTCTCTTCTGCCTTTCCATGTTTTGTAACTATCAGGTACACCCTACTTTTCCTGGCCACTTGATATATAGGGAGTTCTCTGAGCAGAAGGGTGAATCCAGTGCTGGCTATGGCAGTGCCAGTCTGCATGGCACTTCCGGCCCTCCCACACAATCACCCCCTTGTCCCTCATCTGTACCCCACACAAAGGCTTCATTCTCTGGGGGCCCTGAGCTCATCTTTGCCTTATTTCCTTGCCTCCTGTCCCCTCCCTGACCCCAGCTTCTTCAGTACCTTCACAAAGATGATAGCTCTCCTCACTGGTTGCTATTCACAGCCCTTCTGTATATCAGAAGTGTGACAATCATCCCAGCTCTCCTTAGTCAGTCTAGCTCCAGACAGTGTTCCTCACCGTGGTTTAAACTTGCTACGCGTGAATGCCAGGAAGACGGGCATCATTTTTTTCTTTATTTTATTTTTTTAGACTATTTTATGTGTATATATGTGTGTGTGTGTGTGTTAGAGTATATATATATATATGCACTACATGCATGTAGTACCCAAAGAGGCCAGAAGAGGGTATTAGATATTTTGGCTCTAGAGTCTCCATGTAGATGCTATGAACAGCACCCAGGTCCTCTGCAAGAGGACCAAGTGCTTTTAACTCCTGAGCTAGATCTCTCCAGCCTTCCAATCCTTAACAAACCAACAAACAGTGTACATGTGTGTGCCACATATGTGCAGGTACCACAGTGGTCAGACAGGATGTTGGATCCCTTGGAGATGGAGTTACAGGCAGGAAGTTGTGAACTGCCCGATGTGGACGCTGAGAACTAAACCTGAGTCAAGAAAGAACAGTAAGCACTTTTAACTGCTGAGCAGTCAATCCAGCCCCCTAGCCATTATTTTTCTACTCTCAGACCCATTTGGAATTTTCTCTTTTTCCTGTATAATGAAATAAACACAGGAAACAACTCCTAGCAGAACCACAAAACCAATTACCACAGGGAATTAGCTAACAAAACAAATGCCTTGGGGAAAAGGGCAGGGGTATTAATGAAGGACATGATTTACATAAAATTTTAAAGCAAATTTCCAGGAGGTAATGATCAGTGGATGAAAATAATTCTGGCTAGGGGTGGTGGCACACACCCCTTTAGTCCCAGTTAGAGGCAAGTGATCTGTGAGTTTTGGTCCAGCTTGGTCTATATAGGGAATTCAGGCTAGCCAGGGCTTCAGTGAGACCCTGAGGACCTTGAAGCCAAAGAATCTTTACTGTCTTGTTCTGAGGATGCTTTCCAGTATCCCAAAGGAGTAACGAAGGGAATCAAAGGATTTCAGAAATTCTTTTTTGCCAGGAGGCAGTGTACACACCTTTAATTCTGGTTCTCAAGAGTCTGAAGCAGGGAAAATCTCTGTGAGTTTGAGACCAGTCTAGTCTATAAACTGAGTTCCTGGACATCCAGAGCTACACCAAGAAATCCTGTGTGGGGGGTATGGGTATGGGTATGGGGGTTCTGTCTTATTCTTCATTGCATCTAGTTTCTGATCAGATCACATTGTGTGTGTGTGTGTGTGTATATGTGTGTGTGTGTGTGTGTGTGTGGCTGGTGTTCAACTCTAGGATCTTATACATACTAGACAGACATTTTCATCCTATTCTAAACCTTAGCTACACTCCAGCTGTTCACCTACTTTTTCCCCCATAGTAGAGTTCAAAGCCCAGAGGCCTCCTGAACTCTATGCAAATACTCTACCACTGAACTATATCTCCAGTTTTCATGTGTCCTCTTAAAATAAGTTTCTGTTTATAGTATTTTTAACTCTGCATTGGACTATAGTAAGACAGTTTTAGATATCAGCCTCTACCCTAGAGGAGTAAGTCTTACTGGTCTAGAGTACTCTTTCCTGAACCTAGGCTGGCCTGGAACTTGCAACATAGTCAAAATGACCTTTAATTTTTGATGATAATGCTTTTACCACCAAGTATCGGAGTTACAAGTACTCCAAAGAAAACCACAAAATTCCTTAGCTGCCAGGAAAACCAAGGCCTAGAGAGCTGTATTGAAGGCTAAGATATGCCCAAGTTAAAGAAAAAAAAAAAAGATATGCCCAAATTACCTGACTCGACTTCTCTTCCCAGATTTTGGAGTATATAGGCTGAAGGGTAAAAGATTTGAAGTGAATCTCTGTCTATTGTGAGTCAGACAAGTTCTAGTGTGTCTCAGTTTATGCTCGTGTACAAATAATGGGGGTGAGGATAGTTCATCTTTCTTGTTTCTTTGCTTTTTAAGATAAGGTTTCTCTGTGTAACAGCCCTGGCGGTCAATTTATAGACCAGGCTGGCCTCGAACTCACAGAGATCTGCTTGGTTCTGTCTCCTGAGTGTTAGGATTAAAGTCCTGGGTCACCACACCCTGTGATGTTTGTCATTTAAAGAACAATTCTATAATTTTTGTGAAAGCTGGACCCAGTTGTACAGATCTGTAGCTATTCCAGAGGCTGGGTAGGAAGAGTACAAGTTTTTAGGGGCATCAGGCTAGTCTGGGTATCTTAGTACAACTCTTGTTTCAAATAAAATAAAACCACAAAACAACTTTAAAGAGAGCTATGGTATAGCTTAGTAGTTTACTTTCCTATAACAGATAGTCTATAGGAAATGCTAAGTGTAATAAAATACATTGGTTTCTTGGGCTGGAGAGATGGCTCAGTGATTTAGAACACTTTCTGCTTTTACAGAAGACCCAGGTTTGGCTCTCAGCACCCATGTAGTAGCTCACAACCATGATCCAGGGGCTCTAGTTCCAGAAGAACTGACCCTCTCTTCTGACTTTCTTGGGCATCAGATATAATGCAAATACAAACATGCAGACAAAACATACACATAAACTTTTAAAAACATATATAAATTAATTGCAATTTTTTTTTTTTTTTTTTTTTTAGATAAAAAACGTTGGTTTCAGGGCCTTAGAGATAGCTCAGTAGTTAAGAACATTCCTTGGTCTTTTAGAGGATGTGAGTCCAGTTTCTAGCATCCAGATCAGGTAATTCACAACTTCCTCTAACTCCAGCTTTAGAGGATCCAATAACCCATTTCGGGACTCTGAGAGGACCTGGTACTCATATGTGAACATAGGCACATACAGGCACATGTAGTACTATATTTTTTAAAATTTATTTTATGTATGAGTGCTCTATCTGCATGTACACCTGGCATGCCAGAAGAGGGCATCAGATCCTATTATAGATGGCCATGAGTCACCATGTGATTACTGGGACCTGAACTCAGAACCTCAGGAAGAGCAGCCAGTGTGCCCTTAACCATTGAGCCATCTCTCCAGCCCCATACATCTATACAGATAAATTAAAAACAAATTTTTTTTTAAAAAACTTGGTGTGCCAGCTGAGGATCCCTGTGGATTTGAGGCCAGTCTAGTCTACATACTGAGTTCCAGGCTAGCTACACATTCATAGTAAGACACTGTTTTAATTTTTTTTCCGAGACAGGGTTTCTCTGTGTAGCCTTGGCTGTCCTGGAATTTACTCTGTAGACCAGGCTCGCCTTGAACTCAGAAATCCGCCTGCCTCTGCCTCCCAAGTGCTGGGATTAAAGGCGTGCGCCACCACTGCCTGGCCAAGACACTGTTTTAAAACAACAAAAATAAACAAGTTAGTCTACAGCAAAGTTTCTCTGGGTCTACAATCCACACTTAAAGGCAGGCCCCATGCCAAACCAATACAAAATGAATTCAATTATATTTTTAAACAGTTTTTCAAAAAAAATTATTATTTTATTTATATGAGTACACTGTAGCTGTCTTCAGACACACCAGAAGAGGGCATCAGATCCCATTACAGATGGTGTGAGCCACCATGTGGTTGCTGGGAATTGAACTCAGGACCTCTGGAAGAGCAGTCAGTGCTCAACCACTGAACTACCTCTCCAGCCCTCAATTATAGTTTTGAAGTTTTGTTGTTTTTTTCCTTCTTGTAATGCTTTGTCTGTTTTTGTTGTTGTTGTTGTTTTGGTTTTGTTTCTTTGGGTTTTTTTGGTGGTTTCTTTGGTTTTCCAAGACAGGGTTTCTGTAGCCCTGGCTGTCCTGGAGCTCCCTATGTAGACCAGGCTGGCCTTGAACAGAAAGATCCACCTGCCTGTGCTTCTCGAGTGCTGGGATTTTAGAAGTGAGCCGCTAGGCCTGGCTGGTCATCTTTTTTCAACCTTATAGTAACCTTATGTCTTTTGTTTATGTGTTCTGGTTTCCAATTTTATTTTTGTGTTTTTCTGGGATTTCTGTGTGTGGTAGGGTAGTATGTGCGTTTCCGTGTCTGTGTTTCCTGTGCTTTTCCTTTGGCTCTTTTCTTTTTGGGTTTTGTCCAGTTCTAGTTGTTTTTATTTATTTTTAGATGCCTGTTTTCTAATAAGAGATGAAAACAAAGAGTGTGGATTTGGGTGGGTAGGATAGATCTTGGAGGAGTTTGGGGAGGGAAAAATCACTAGAATACATTGTATGAAAAAATTCAATTAACAAAAAAAAGGTGGGGGGCTGGAGAGATGGCTCAGCGGTTAAGAGCACTGAGTGCTCTTCCAGAGGTCCTGAGTTCAATTCCCAGCTACCACATGTGGCTCACAACCATGTGTAAGGGAACCTGATGCTCTCTTCTGGTGTCTCTGAAGATAGTGGCAATGTATTCATATAAATATAATAAATAAGTAAACAAGCCGGGCGGTGGTGGCGCACGCCTTTAATCCCAGCACTTGGGAGGCAGAGGCAGGCGGATTTCTGAGTTCGAGAGTTCGAGGCTAGCCTGGTCTACAGCGTGAGTTCCAGGACAGCCAGGGCTACACAGAGAAACCCTGTCTCGAAAAACCAAAATAAATAAATAAATAAATAAATAAATAAGTAAACAAATATTTTAAAACAAAACAAAAAAAAACAAAAAAAAAAGGTGGAGGGTAGAGTGGGAGGGGAATAAAGTCTGGAATGTAAAAAAAAAAAAAAATGTTGGTTTCACAGAGAAAACAGCTGGGTACTGGGGAAGCCGAGGCCGGAGGTGACGAGTTCAAAGCCAACCAGGGATGTATACAATTAGAAACAAAACTGTCTGCTTCTAATAGAAGGTCCGTGGCCTGGTTTTATTTTGTTGGGAGGCATTGGCTTAATGCTTGTTAGCATTGTCTTCTACCATGCTTTGTCGGGAAAATTTAAAAAGGCCACCACAGCGGCGCGCAAGCCCGCCGTGGCAGATCCCACATTAGGGAGGAGGATTCTTATGGTTCCAGCGGCCTGAGGGCCTTGGCGGCGGCAGGCCCCAGCAACACGAGGAAGTCCTTGGTTCCAAAAGGATTTATTGTCATGACGGATAATAGATGGATCTAGGCGTACCCCCCCCCAAAACTCAGGGCAGTCCCGAGTTATATAGGGAGGGAGAAAGGGGGAGGATTGGGGGAGGATCTGGGGGAGGAATGTTTAATTTGCTCTGCCCTCTGGCCTTCATTAGTATGCAAATCTCTAGGGCCTGAGGCCTATAGCCTGGCCTGTGTGACTCTATGGAAATGTGACTGTTTTCAGGATCCTAGATGATGGGAGAGACCGAACTCCTGCCGGTTCTCACGCAGAATTCCACGGAGAACCTCGGGGTTCTAAGTACCTGCTCAACCATGACCCAGGATACCATTATGCAGTCTCTCACAATGCTTCACATTTTTAGTTTTCTTTTTTGTTTCTCAAGACAGGGTTTCTCTGTGTAGCCATAGCTGTTCTGGAACTCACTCTGGTTGGCCTTGAACTCACAGAGATCTTCCTGCCTCTGCCTCTTGAGTGCAAGGAGTAAAAAGTAAAAAGTCAAGCACCACCACTGCCCAGCCACAAGCTTCTCAGAGTCTTATAAGAGTGGCTATAGCAAGCTGGGTGTTGGTGGCGCACACCTTTAATCCCAGGATTTGGGAGGCAGAGGCAGGCGGATTTCTGAGTTTGAGGCCAGCCTGGTCTACAGAGTGAGTTCCAGGACAGCCTGGGCTATAAAGAGAAACCTTGTCTCAAAAAACAAAAACAAAACAAAATAAAATAAAAGAATGGCTATAGCTGGTCTTTGCTACTTCTTCCTCCCCACCCCCCCCCCCTTTTACTCTTTCCTGTTTCATCCCCTATCACTAGGTAGGAAAGAAGGATGTAGGGGAGAGAGACATAGAAACCCTTGAATCTAATTTATTTTTGTTTCTTCTTTGAGCATGACTACTAATAGACAGCAACCTCCCTTCCCTCAGATGACCAATAACTACCAACCTCACCTCTTAGGGCCCTAGATACCCTCTGAAAAGTTCCTGGAATTCCAAATGTCACACAATTGTAGAAACTATCTGCAGCTCGTAAAACCACGCCTCTGCTGGAGCTTGAGGCAAATCATAGTCAGCTGCTGTGGACAGTCTGAAGCAGCCCCACATCCCGCACCTGGGACTAAAATCAAAGTCCATTCTTACATTTCTGTGTTGTTGTTTTTTTTTTTAAAGATTTATTTATTTATTATATATGAATACACTGTAGCTGTCTTCAGACACACCAGAAGAGGGCATCAGATCTCATTACAGATGGTTGTGAGCCACCATGTGGTTGCTGGGATTTGAACTCAGGACCTCTGGAAGTGCAGTCAGTGCTCTTAACCACTGAGCCATCTCTCCAGCCCCTATTTTTTTTTTAAAGAAACCAAAATTTCAGAATTCTCACTACATTTCCCACTTCCTTTTTAGGCCATTAATTGTGCTGTGAATAGTGAGAAATTATAAAGAGGCATTTTCAACAAAATAAGAGCTTTTTGGGTCAATGGCCACAGTTTTCAGGAGATCTCTCCTGCTGTCTACTGGAGCAATTTTACCTATCACCTGTGTGATATCCTCTCTCTCTCACTCTCGATCTCGTTCTCGCTCTCTTTTTTTTTTTTTTTACATAGGCCATCATTTTAACTTCTCCTTTGAAATCTTCATCTATAATTCTTAGATGCACAATGAGTCCTTGGAAAGTGAATCCACTCCTTCCCAAGATCATCCCTACTGTCCCTGAGGGCAAAGGACCATAAACTCCAGTAGTTATAACACTGAATTAAGAGGGGTAAAGATGTTTACTTGTGTCCACGTCTCAAGTCATGCTGACTATATATAGTAGCATGCATTAAATCTCCAATGCCTAGAGAAGGTTTTTGGTCTGTAGGTCACTCCTTGGCTGAAAGGACTTGTACTTTTTGTTGTAGAGGCCATAAGCTAGGCCCCCAAGGCCATTTCATGTGCCAAGGTCTTTATCAACACCTCTCTTTTGTCAGAGTCTTATACAACTTTGTTCACAGCTGAGACTAATCTTTGTAAAAAATCAGTGAAAATTTCTCCAGAGCCTTATATAATCTTATATAAGCAAGGTGGCTTAGTTCCCCCAGACTCAACTTTGTCCCAAGCTCTTAAAGCCACTAAATATTGTTCTACAGTAAACCTACAATTGTACAGCATACACTTGCTAATGGTTGAAACAAGATTATGACGAAGAATGGTGTCCTATAGAAATGATTGATCTAAGGAATTTTTAAAAAGTCATGGTTTCATATAGAATGCACTCGCTTTATATGACAAATTCTAAATAACTGGGCTACTCAACATAGAGTTACTCCACAAGGCTGGAAGGGATCGGTGACAGCTGTAGTAGAGGCCGGTCCGTAG